ATATTGAACTACTTCACATATAGTACTTGCACTTCTCCAGCCTTGGGGTTTTATATGCATGTACTGATCACTACTCAGCTGAATAATCAGGAAGACTCCTGTGCAGATCTCTGGGTGTCCCTCAGTGCAGACTTCTTCTGTCTGGATTTTGACGCTTTGAACTCCAGATCTCTCTGGATTTCCAACTCTGTCCCTGAACTTGGGGAGAATTTTGGACAGTGCCTGGTTTCTCTCCCTCAGCTACATCCTGCAGATTCTCTTCAGATATTAAGCTGAGGCGATTGTATGACCACTTTGGTTGTTTACCATCTCTCAGGGATCACTGTCCGTTATTAGTAGATGATCTGTGTCTTGTTAACCATTGTTTCAAATATTTGGTCTGGTTTTGTAGTTGTTTCAGGAGGCAGTGTAAATCCAGTCCCTTGTTTCTTCTTGGCTGGAAATAGAATTCCTTGTGTACTTTTGTTTGTATAAAAATGTGTTATTTTTCATGCTCTGATTTCTCCTTTCTTTCTTTTTGTTCTTGTGGGTTTAGACATTTTTTTCAACTGCCTTACTATCCTTTAGTGGTATCTTTGGAGAGAAAGGTGGATTCACAAGAGGCAATGGGTGGTGGATCAATCACATGCATTTAAATCTCCATAATACTTTTTACTCTACAACCAAGGCTGGTATGAGAGATCAGAGCTGACAATTGAGATGAAGTCTTTTTGCCATTTGTAGTATTAACAGTATGTTTAACAGAAGAAGACTAATGAACGTAGTTTGTCAGCTGTTAACCTCCAGTGTTGAATTATTTTTTGTCAGTGTAAAAATACCTAGAAGTTGCCCACAGATCTTGGAACAGAACATGACAGATCTGATTCGCATTAATTGATGAGCAAGACTCATTCCTGTCCCCTTTTTGTATCTCTGTATATGTGATCCTGAAGGCCTAGAATGTGGCTAGGGGCACATCAGTTTGAGAACAAATGTTTCACATTGTCATGCTACTTAATTCAATAAAGACATAGTCTTTGTCCTTAAATTCTTTATAGTTAAGATTCTAGGAGCATGTTAGATGAGCAAATTACACATTACATGTCTTATGACCCAAGTTAACGTTGGCTGATGGTGCTAGACATCTCTACAGAGGACCACCTGAAGTACCCTGTTGACCAAAAGCTATGTGGAGTCTGGAAAAGGGGACCAATGAGTAGATTCTCAAAATACAAATCAGGGCTAGGGGGGTGGAGGAGGAATCGCACCTGTAAACAAAGCCATGAAAGAGGATGGCATAGTGCCAGCCACTCGTGTGGCCAAAGCTCCTGTTGCTTCTGGAAAGATGCTGAGAGAGAGTCCGGGGTGCAGGGCAGATGCTACCTCATTCAGGGAAGAATTCAGTAATGCCCTGGGAAAAATAACCTGGCAAATTTAAACAAGTATCACAGAAAGCTGTCATATTTGTGATATAAGAACAAGTGGGAGACCCACTTGAGAAAATGGCAACAGTGAAAAAAATGAATGGAAACCAAGAAAAGGAATATTTTGCCTTTTTTCCAAACCTTAAAGCCAATCTCACAACCATTATGTCTATGAAACGTGCACTGCTCTAAAACAGTGCAGTAAGTCTTCTCTCCAAACTCCAGAGTTCTTATTTTAAAAGCTTGAGATCATCAGGCCTCCCTTGCTCTAATTTTAATCTTATTTGATGTATTTTTAATTAAACAAGGATTCATACTGATCAGAATTTGAAATTTGCCACTTTGAGTCATTTCTTCACGTCTTTCATAGAATAGTTCTTGTGAAGAAGGTTGGAATTGTCTAAGTTTGTGAAATAAACATCTGTAAACAGTGTCTTGAAATTTTTTTCTTTACCCTTTACATTGTGCAGATTAATCACTCACAGTGGTGTGAATCTGGCATAGTTCCAAACCTGGCAGTGTTCTAAGGGATAATATCATCCTGCTGATAAGTTTGATATTTTAGTTGCCAGGAAAGAAATCTTGATTATTCAAATAGTGCCTAATGCGGTTCCCTAATTGCTTCCCTCTTGACTATTCACAAGTAAGTATGTCTGAATGTAATATAAACATTAGTCCAAGATGTTATTTTTCCATATTGGTGAGCTACGTTTCAGGCAGATTTATTATTTCATAAGCAGAAAAAAAAATAATTTACCATTGAATCCCAAGCCCTAAAATACCAATTCCTAGAAAGTTTATTTCTAATTAGGCCCTTCACTACAGGATTACAGTGTCTGACCCAAAATAATGTGCGTAGTATATAATGAATATTGACAGAACGATAGAATGGTGTAATGCTTGAGAGTCTTTGCAAAGAGTCAAATTTGTGTATTTAAAACCTGGGCATTTATTAAGGTAAGCAACTAAAGAGGAATCGGGTTGCCTAAACGTTCCAGTGAATGCTTTTTATGGTAATTTTCAAAACCGTTTACTTCTCCGAGCTTTGGAAACCAAATTGGAAAGAACAGATGGGCAAGCTCTCCATACCCACGACGAAGTTGAGATATCTTTGTGGACACCAGCCATGAAGGTTTCCCTTAGAGACCTTTGTTCATAGTCTGAAATCTCACACGCCTCTTTGTAGGTGCACATGTGTCCTGGCCATTCATGGTGTGGAAATAACTTGAGGATTTCACTGGCACACGATCGCATTTTCTAAGTGATTGAGGATACCTGGTTGATAGAGGGTGGGGACTATCACTGTTTTGGCCAAAAGGTTGCCTTGGTCTTAAAGTAATGATGTAACATGAGAAAATCCAAGCCAAGGGCTGAACACATAGCGGGTGCTCCACAAATACTACAGATGCATCAGGGAATTAGAGTCTTCACCTCTTCAGTGTCTCAGATCTTTATGTCGATCGTGCTTTGTTAAGAGGCCTTGTCTCACAAGTAAAGACTGTATGGGACATGAGTGCCCCTGCCACCCCTCTCTTGTGCAGCACACACCCACACCAGGGGAGTGTGTTCCCTATTTTAGGCAGGTGCTTGATGAAAAATACAGAGAGCCCCAATATCATGAAAGAGTTATCATCTAAAGCTTATTTCAAAGGGTCTTGTTTTAAAAAATTGTTTTAATGCTTATTTTTGAAAGAGAGAGAGAGCATGAGTGAGGAAGGGGCAGAGAGTGAGAGAGAGAGAGAGAGAGGGAGACACAGAATCCAAAGCAGGCTCCAGGCTCTGAACTGTCAGCACAGAGCCTGATGCGGGGCTCAAACCTACCAACCATGAGACTGTGACCTGAGCTGAAGTCGGACGCTTAACCGACTGAGCCACCCAGGCGCCCCTAAGCGTCTTGTTTAAAATAAAAACCACATTCGCCCATGGAGGTCTTATTACACAGGCCCAGCATGCCCCCAGAGTAGGTCACAGAGCCTATTAGCTCATGTTGCAGCTGAAGTATAGCACCGATTGCATCACAGATGAGGGTGAATGCACTCATCTGTCTTCCTGGAAAGCTAGGAATGCACTTGACCTCTATTTTGGCAATGACAACCTCTCGACCTGGCCATTCTGGGAAGAGGAGTTTCTACAGCTGGGTCCTGGTGGCAGTTCACTAGGGTGGAATGGTGGAGATTTCTAGCCTCCTACCACCCAAGACTCACGGTGTGCTCTTTGGCAAGGATTGAGCATGGGCAAGCTAGGAGATTATGAGCATGCTTTGGAGAGCAAGAAATGAGGCCAGGAAAACCCTCCCCAGTGGTATCTGAGAGCTGTGAAGGAAAGTGGTCCTTAGGAGACGTTGGGTGAAGAACCAAGAATACCCGTGGTGACCAGAGTCTGGGGTCTGACTGCCGCGGAGACTAGAGGAGGGGCACTCTGCTCCATGACTACATAGCACACGCATCCAAGGCAAGTTCTTCTGGGGTAACAACTCACTTGGCCTCACTGTCGTGTGCATGGCGGATAGCAGTGTCTCCATGATGGGCCAGCATTACTGTTCAGTGCTGCTAATTCAAATAAACACTATAGGATATCTTTTTTTAAGGTTTGTTTATTTTTGAGAGAGAGCGCGAACGTGCAAGCAGGGGAGGGGCAGAGAGAGAAGGGGACAGAGGATCTGAAGCAGGCCCCACGCTGACAGCAGCGAGCCTCACGCAGGGCTCGAACTCAGAAACCGAGAGATCATGACCTGAGCCAAAGTTGGATGCTCAACCGACTGAGCCACCCAGGTGCCCCCATAGGATATATATTTCTGATATAAAAACGCTCCTCCTCCTCCACACCACAAAAATCTTGATACCTCAAAGACTAATTAGGATAAACTATATCCCTCCCTCTCTTTTTGACTGCAAGCTTTTCGTGTGTAACTAGTGAGGCAGTGATTTCTATCAAGCTCCGGTTCTGGGCAGGGACTGTGCAATCAGTGGCACATTTGTGTCTTCAAGGAAGCCAGCTAGAGCAGGACCTTCAGGTAGACAGTCTCAGTAATGTCCTGTGGGGGAGGAATACAGAGGATGCTGAGGGCATGCAGGGGAGGGGCTGGGAGAAGAGCAGAGAGAAAAGGCTCCACCTGCATTTAATTTGAAGGATGACTAGGAGTTGGCTCATCACAGAAATAAAGGTAGCAAAGGGAACAGCATGGCTCCTCCTACTGGAAGGGTGCGGGGAGAGATTACAGATTGCATGCAGTACCACATACGGTCCCATTAAGTTGGGCACATCAGCAGGCGTCAAGGAATGAGGAACCACGAGAAAGGCATGGGCAGAGTTCAGAAAGAAATATGCATTTGTCAGTTTCTACCAGTGAAAAAAGCGCTTGTCCTGTTTTATAGCTTCCCTTTCAGACTGTTTTTCAAGTTGAGGAACGTCCTGATGTCTGTCAGATTGCTCAGGGACACCTCAATTTTATTGACACATAATAGTGAGATTTGAAAACCTTCCGGTAGATCAGTTTATGGACGCTACTTAGTGAATTCGCTGGATTGGATCAAATTGCCCTTGGCAGCCATACTGCAGATTAATTATAAAGGCCCGGCTCTGTTTGCTGTTTTGCAGGTACCATGATCAACAGGATGTTACTAGCAACTTCCTCGGAGCAATGTGGTTGATATCAATAACTTTTCTCTCCATTGGTTATGGTGACATGGTACCTAACACATACTGTGGGAAAGGAGTCTGTTTGCTTACTGGAATTATGGTAAGTGTCTTTTTACTTTGTTTCTTTTACTTATCCTCTTAGACCATGAAGGCATGGAGGTGCACAGTGTGATTTGATTGCAAGCTACTAGGTTTCCCAACAGCCAGCAGCCAGTATAAATAATCAGTTCTAGGTTGCGAGACAACATGGCTGGTTTTGATCTTCATTCTTAGCCTGATACAGCTCCATGAAGCATCAGTGGCTGTTGGATTGCTTTTTGTGGGGAGAGGCACTTGTTTTGACGAGCAAATCTGGTCTCCAAGCTGCAGCCAGGAAGTTCTTCATTTCAGTCTGGGTCCTCTCATTGTCATAAGAGCGAGGTACACTTTCTCTTCTCTGAAACGCACTTTCCTTATCTGCAAAATGCGGACCATAACAACCTATCCTGAAGTGTGCTGAAGGGCTGAAAAATTGCATTTTCTCAATCACAGAATTAGATTACAGTTGACCCTCAAGCAACATGGGTTTTGACTGCACGGTCTAAGGATATGCAGATTTTTTTTTTCCAATAAATACAGTGTAGTACTGTAAATGTATTTTCTCTTCCTTATGAGTTTCTTTCTTTCTTTCTTTCTTTCTTTCTTTCTTTCTTTCTTTCTTTCTTTCTTTCTTTCTTTCTTTCTTGGTTTATTTATTTATTTTGCGAGAGGGAGTGAGAGAGCATGAGCAGGGGAGAGGCAGAGAGAGAAAGAGAGAGAGAGAATCCTAGCACAGAGCCTGACGCAAGTCTCGAACTCATGAATAATGATGTCATGACCTAAGCTGAGACCAAGAGTGGGACACTTAACCGACTGAGCCACCCAGATGCCCCTTCCTTATGGTTTTCTTAATAATATTTTCTTTCCTCCATCCCGGGAAAGTTGACTTCTGAGCTCAGGTGTGAAGGGTGAATAGCCAGGCAGTGTGGCAAGAAGGAAGGGCATCCAGGAGGAGGAAATGGTTTATTTGAAGGTAGTGAGTCAAGGGGGAGCTTGGTACCTTCGAGCAAGGTCATTGGGCCAGGGGTGAAAAGTGGGACAGTGCCATGGCATGAGGCTGGGACGGGTGGCCAGGTCTTGCGGAACCCTTGAGAAAAGTCTGCTGCCCGTAGCGACATGTCACTGTTCTTCTGTGACGCAGCACAAGTTCCTACGTGATCACTACCCTGTACCCACCCCGATTTGACCAGGACTAATTGGTTCCATGTATTTTAGGTGTATACACATTGGAGGCCAGCAGGTTATCTCAAATTGATGACAATGTAGTATGAACTTTTCAGTGTTTAAGCCAGACGTAGCTTCTAATCGATGCACTGTGTTCAGTGACCTGGGTTCTGTCCATTTCTCATCTGCTTTGTGTAGTTTGGCGACAGCGAAAAGTATCATCTTGATGCTTCTTTGATCTTCTGCTTACATGTTGGGCTATGAGAACGAGTACCAGGAGCTCCTAAGCCAGGAAATTCCCAGCATTTCTGATGTTAGGCATCCCTCCCAATGCCCCCACTGTGTCCACCCCCATGCTGGCAGCAGAGGGACAGGATCTCCATGTGAGGGCATCTGAATGGTGGCCAGGGCAACACGCACCCTGCTAGCAGCTGCCTCAGAAGATTGTTCCAAGAGTTCTAACTGGCTGGAAGGACTGAGCTGCCCAGGGCATAGATGGAGTGGGAACATTCTTCTCCCACTTGGTAGTAACCAAACGGGGATTAAGGCAGCTAGATGTGAAAATAAAATCTGGGCCAATTTTAAGGTCATCAGTGGTAACGAGAGGCCCATCTCAAGTCCCAATTGTACAGAATACGATCTGGGGTTATAATTTAACATGGTTTGCTTGTACAAGAAAAATAGTTTTGTGCATTTTAATGAACTTTTTTGTTTTTTTGTTTTTTGTTTTTTTCATTACAACGGGTAGCGCCCATTCTGCTCACTGTTGGATCACTTCCTCCTTTTTCCTCAGAAGAGATAGCATTTTATCATATAGCATAATGCTTTGGGAAATGAAATGTGCATGGGTGTATTTTTGGAGGGCCATAACAAGCCCACGAGGGACATGAATGATGCTATTTATACACACAGAACTGGTAATTACAGAGTCTTTCCCCTTAAGCTTCTTAGAAACAATTTCCTTGGTGTTCCTTTCTGGCAAGATTGTCCCCCCCCCCCCCCACTCCTTTATTGTTGAATCAGGTATGACTCAGGGCTTGTGCAAATAGCCTAATATGCAGTGGATCATAGCCAGATTGGAGATTAACCTTGCCTGGATCCTGTGGTATTTGTAGCTTTCCTTGCTTTTTTCTTTGCCCTTCCTGTCTTTCTAGCCTTATCAGACAGCACAAATCTATTTAGTTGTTTGAACCGCTCCTTTGCTTAGATGTCACTGGTGATCCTACTTCACAAAAGACATGAAGTTATAATCCACTTATAATCTATATGGACACAAATGTGTTGTGTGCACTGAAATTTATAGCGACCTCATTGCCACTGTCTAGATTCATGGTGAAACAGGCCCTCTGTTCTCAGCCTGAGAAGCTCCACTCTATTTCCTTCTGGGGACAATTCCTTCCTTCCTTCCTTCCCTTCCCTTCCCTTCCCTTCCCTTCCCTTCCCTTCCCTTCCTTCCTTCCTTCCTTCCTTCCCTTCCTTTTCTTCCCTTTCCTTTCCTTTTCCCTTCCCTTTCCTTTCCTTCTTCCTTCCTTTCTTTCAACATTTATTTGTTTTTGAGAGACTGAGGGAGACAGAGCCTGAGCAGGGGAGGGGCAAATAGAGAGGGAGACACAGAATCCGAAACAGACTTCAGGCTCTGAGCTGTCAGCACAGAGCCCGGCATGGGGCTCGAACCCACGAACTATGAGATCATGACCTGAGCTGAAGTTGGACGCTCAACCGACTGAGCCACCCAGGCACCCCGGGACAGATTTCTTTCTTAACTGGCCCCACCCAAAATGGTTTACTTGCATGTAGAGAAATTCAGTAATCTTGGACGAGCCTATGTGAAATGCTAGGAGGAATAGGATTGTGTCTGTCCCTAGCCCAGGCAGCCTCCCGTTGAGTCGGGCCCCAGAGCAGTCTCCTGGGGGCAAGTTGGGGAGTTAATTCTATCCCTTGTAAATTTCCCAGGGATCAGCAGTGTATGGCTGGAGGTTTCCTACAAACTTGTACAGTGTTTGCCTGTGCAGTGTTTGGCTGGCAGTATAGATACCTAGAAAAAGATCACTTGTTTTCACAGTTCATATAAAAGGTTAGTTTCCTTAAGCTGAAATATGTTTCGTCAGATACTCCCCCCCTCCAAGAGACTTAAATACCAGTTTGTCACCTGGGGATTATCTAAGCCAGATATGGCTTCCTTTTGGGGGGGGGGGGGATTTATTTGTCTGTTGCCCCTTGGGCTTTCTGCAATGCATGTTTAGATAAACTGTACAATGTCAGATTTCCCCTGGGCCATCTCTCTCTCTCTTTCTCTCTCTCTCTCTCTCTCTCTCTCCCCCTCTCTCCATCTGGCCCCTACTAAATTGTGAAAAAGAAATACGATTTACAATACTTCTGAGAGAGGACAGGGCCATCCCTGAATCATCTTGTATATTTTCTCCAAAGTACTGTATTTCTTTGTTTTCTCTTATATTTGAATTTTCTGGTTCTTGTGTTTTGAAATTGATAGAATTTATACCTTTATGTGTTTTTTTTTTACTTTGACATAAGATACAGTCGATCCACATGCTAACATCTAAAACACTTACCCATTTCAAAAATGTACAAATAAAGAAATGAGCACTGCATTTCTTGATAAAGCTAATGAAACGAATGAATTATTTTGTGGCATCATCTTAGATGTTCACATTTCATTGGTTACAAACCCAAAATTAAACCGTGATTTAAAATTTTTAAATAGCTTAATTTGTGTCATGAGTGATATTTTTGGGAGCCAAGGACATTAAGATTAATCTGCAGTGCTCTGGGCAGAAATAAATTGTTAGACAATGAGGAGAGAGAGTTTTCCAGAATATTTCTAAGAGAGTAACAAGTGAACATTTCAAAAAATAACCTCTCCTCACTTGAAATATCAATTGTGAATACAAGCCAATCAGGCAAAGCTTTTCTCATAGTTTTTACAACTTCGTTTACAATGTTCTACATAAATGATGATGGAAATGCTAGAATAACGGGATCTCAGATACTGAAACGTGTGATAGGTCAGACAAATCACGCAGAAAGTTCCTTTTTTACCAAGACCTACCTGATAGTAAAGCCGAGGAGACAAAGATCTCATTCTCTCTCCTGGATAGTATTTTAAAACCATAAAATCCTAGGATCGTATAATAAGTCACTCATCACCCTTCCAGAGAAAAGCCATGAAGGTTGTAATTCCTTTTTTCTCCTTATTCATCTGTCTTTCCTCTGTGGGGTTGTACCAAGGACCTGAGGATTCATTAGTGTGGATGTCACCATAACCAATGGCATGAACTCTCTCAATGGCTTTATTCTTTTGGTTGAAGGTGGCAGGCAGGCAACCTTGTGAGATTGTTGTGTCTTCGCTATTGTCGGCTCGAGCTGGTTTCTCATGATCTCCAGCTGGATGCAGAGAAGGGAATTGTTTTGCTTAGCATTTAAAAGGTTATCCTGTCTGCCCTTTCATATCTGCACATCTAGACAAAACACATTCTGGAAGCTCTCATCTCCCCTTGCTTATGAATACAGATGATTGTTTCAAGAGGACAATACAACCTCATTGGTGACAGAGTATCTCCTGTCTTATATGAGAATGAAGGTCCTTCGTTCGTTTGCAATTTTCACTTCTCCATTTCTGTGGAATTATGACGTCTCTTGTGGGCCCTTTGTGTAGAATATGGATGACCAGATTTGGGGGCAAAATTACCTTTAAACATGAAGTGTCATCTGCCCCATCCTAGGGACACAGGTTGGTGTGTGATAAATGGTCCCCTTGGACTTCCACAGGGTCCCCCCATGGATTCCTCAACTCAAGTGAGTCCCTTTCAGAAGTGTGATTTAGGTTTTGCTCAAACACTT